AGACTTCAGCTGTGAGATCGAGAGCAATGGTACTGTGATTATCAAAGGAGTTACGGTTACTGGTGAAAGAGTGGTCGAAAAATACGAGCAGTCATTCGAGATGGTGACCCACAATTTGTGCCCGCCGGGCCCTTTCTCCATCTCCTTCAAGCTGCCCGGTCCAGTTGACCCTCAGCAGTTTCATGGGACCTTTTCAACCGATGGGATTCTCGAGGGAATCGCTTTGAAAGAAACGAGCACGCGTGCTGCTTGTGGGCCCCATCTTCTCTGTCAATGAAATAAAAAAGAAAAATTGATCCTCAGCTGCTAGTTTACTACTGCTTATTTTGTGGGAGTTGGTTTTTTTGGTTATCTGGTATTTTGCAAAGCTTGTCTTGTGCAATGTGGGCACACACCCAACTCAGTGAAAGTTGTGTATTTTGTCTATATCTGCAGAATGTAATAGCATTGAACCGTACTGCTGGAATGCGTTTTGTAAAGGAACTTTTTTGGTTTAGAAGTTTTTTTTTTTACTTCATTTTGGAGGTAGGGTGATGATTTGTCCTAAATGTTTACAAGATTTAGAGGTAAGAACTCTTATAAAAGAGGCTGAATTTCATGTTATTAGTGCCAACGGCTCGGAATATAATGTGGGTCAAATTAGCCCGAAAAAACATTAAAGAGAGTAGATTAATCCATTAGAAAATAAGATTAATTCAAGTACAATGTTTGCTTGGATTGAAGCCCACATCTCTATAACCACTTGGCATTTGGCAAGTTTCGAGATCACACAATCCCAATTAAATAACACAAAAAGCGCAAGCACAAACACTCGCACATCCACAAATGTGAAATCTAGATAGCCAAAAGAAGCATGAACAAAAGATTTGCCATCTACAAATTAGTCATCACCAAATTTTACCACAATATTCTCCATTTGTGTATCAAAGACCTACATGAACATGAAGTTTACTAAAGAACAGAAGATAAAACACAGACATGGAGTTTAATAATCCCTTGGTTGCTTTCCCTCCAGTCTTGCTAGATCTGCCTGTGTATAGGTTCAAGAACAAGTAGAGTTTTCAGTCACATAACTTTTGGCTACACGTTTCAACTTCAAATATTCCTTTTCATGTTTATAAACAAATTTTTATTTTAACAATATAGTTCGTGTTTCTCTTATTTTCAATTTTAAGAAAAGAGGTAATGTACCAATGTGGGCTTTATATTCTTCCAATAGCAAAACAAACGTAATGGAAATGAAGGCCGGAGTGCAAGATAAAAAGTCGTCTTATCATGACAGAATTTTCAAGTGTAAAAGTTGATGAGAATACCAAAAGAGAAAGGCATGATATGTACTAGCAGGTGTATATCTTTAATGAAGATTCTTTTGTGTCGGGAATCTCATAATATCAAGTTGTCGAACTATTGTTCTTCATCCTCCAAATGCCAAGAAGAAACTAAAATGCACACTATGGAAGGCAGTAACGAAACAGATTCACAACTTTTTTTGCTAGCGTAATGTCTCTTGTGATACGCGGTAAAAAACTAAGCAAATGAACAACTCATAAAGTAGGTCTTGGCCTCCCTTACTTGCATGCTTTCCTTATGAGTTATCATCAACCCTAACATATTCAATGAGTTTTGAATACTTGATCTTAATGAGTTTTTGAAAGTATAAATAATTTAAATGTCACTGAGAAGGCTTTATACTCAAAAGAATCTGTTTCGGCAAAATAGCAAGGCCAAGTTGTGCATTTCACTTAAATCTGAGTAAGACTTCTTATGTTTCCGATTGGTGCAATTAATTCTCATGTTACGCAAAACATCAAGACACACCTGAGCTTCCCCATTCCCGAATATACCCAAAATTCTGAGTTTTCAGCNAAAAAAAAAAAAAAAAAAAAAAGGAGCAACAAAAATACTACCTCAAATTCATTCTTCAGATGATCAAGTTCCTTATCCAGATCATTGATTGCCTGATTATACGCCTGCATTGGAGAAGACTGGCTTGTCGTGTGGATCTGCAAATACCCATCACACAAATCACACCCAACATAGCACAAAAAAACCACCCCAAGTCGTAAGTCAGGAACAATTATCTAGGAATGGAAAGAAATCTGTGAACAATTTAGTTTACAAGATAGAGATTTCAACACAGACAAAATTTTAGTTTCCAATCAGGTTTATTAGAATCAAACAAATAATTCGTACTAGTAACTACATAATATCGCAGGCCAAGAATAGCACAAGCCACAAAGAATTAACATTTTCAGTCCAAAAGGGAAATCCCATGGAACTTCTAAAAATGGCGAAGTGGAGAGGGAAACTGAATGAATGACAGATAAAGTTTTTATTCCACCAAGTCTCTGGTTGTGCTCAATGTTGTTGCTTCTGATAAACTAAACACACATTCTTAAGCATGTTTAGAAAACTGAGGCACAGAGAAACACACAAGAACAAGTACAAACCCGTAAGAGTATCTTGTACTGAAGTGGGTGAGGCAACTTGTATCCAGCAAAAAGTACATTCTCATCCCTGTGTAGTTGCCTGATTTCATTGCACAGCAGAATTATGTCTTGCACGAAGCAAAACAGAAACACCCAAACTCCAAATGAACAAGTAACAGCAACGAAAAGATGATGAAGAAGAAGAAAACAAAGAAATTATACATGCGAAGTATGTTGCCGATAGTGTGATCCTCTCGCTCGATTGTGAAGGAAGCTGCATTGATAATCTTCGTGTCCCTCTCATACGATACCCTGTTAATCAATCAGAAACCCTAATCACCAAAAAGAAGTGGATGAAAGGAACAGAAGAAAAGTGCACACAGACACACACACACACACATACAGAGGGAGAGGGAGAGAGAGAGAGAGTACTTAGAGACACCCTCAGGGACGACAAATCTCTCATAACGATCGGGGGCATTCATCTTTTCCTTCTCTTTTGCAGCTCTGTTTAGCAGGGATGGTACCAATTTAGCTCAAGGCGAAAGGGACAAACGAAACTAAAACAACTGATCAAATATATATATTTGAGAGGGAAAAGCAAGAAAAAGCAGGCACCATACGAAGCAGTAGCATTAGCAATAGCTAACAGACGGAACTAATCACGCATTACAAAAGAACTAATTATGGTGAAAAACATAATCTAGGGTTTGTAAAGATTGATTTTTTTTCCTTCTTCTTACGAGTACCTTCTAAATAGGGAGGCGGAGAAATGGCCGGAGGGCTACTGGACGGTAAGTTGACGGCGGAGTTCGGTCGCCGGAGAACACAGAGATTAGGAAGAAAAGCTTTCGGATCTGCCGCTTTTTAAGGTTTCATAAAAGGGCCCAGATTCAAGCATGAATTCTGTAGGGTCATGAAAGTCCATATACAGAACAATGATCCAGGCCCAAAATTCGGTTGACACGAGGTCATGAAAGTCCATATACAAAACAGTGAGTAAGGCCCAAAAGTTGTGGTTGAAGAAAAGAAAGAAAAAGAAAAAAAAAAAAAAAACCATTCATTTAAATGCTCTTTTAACGTTCAAACCAATGTGAGTGCGTTCATTTAATGGTGTAAATTAAAGGTCCCACCACTATCATTCATACCATTGAATGGCTGTTTGCAACTTTTTTTTTTATTTTTTTAATTTTGTTCTCTTCAGCCACCACTTGCAAGCATTTTTTATTCTCTTTTTGTCCTTTTTCTTTTCTTTTTTCAACGGCTATGCAAGCCTTTTTTATTATTTTTTTATTTAATGTTACTTCAATTATTTTTGTATCCGTTTAATTTTTTTTTTCAATTCTATCTGTTGAGCTTTTTTTTTTATACTTTCTATCATTATTTTTTGTCTATAAATATATCTCATTCTTACATTTCTTCTACGCCAAAAAATTAGCAATTTTCATTTCTGAAAAGAAAAAATGGATCCCAATAATAGGCAAAACTTTCAAAATTTCTCAAGTTCTAATACTAACAATCCTGATGAATTTCCATTATTCCAAAATTCACAAACTCCGCCAAATTTATCATTTTCACAAGCTCCTTATCGAGCACAATTTTTCCCACAATTCCCATCAAATTTTCCTTTTATGCAACAATCCCAAAATTATCCAATGTCTGGCAATATTCAATACTCACAATATCCTCCACAATCTTTATATCAAAATCCACCACCTGAATATTGGCAGTACATAAGTAGTCAAAATCTGGTGCAATCTTCTCCGCAACAATCGAGTCAATCTTCCGGATCTCAAATGAGCAAAGAACTCAATACTGAAACTTACGTTCCGGAAACACAATTACAGGATCGTGAAGCAGCTATAAATGTTGAAATGCCAAGAAACACACGTGTTGCTGTTGAGGGCCGGAAAAAACGTCCACAATGGACAACGGAAGAGGACGTGCTATTGACAAAAGCTTATGCGACAATAAGTGACGACCCTATTACCGGTAATGATCAGAAGGCCGAAGCGTTTTGGGTACGTGTTACAAAATATTATAATGAAAATACACCTTCTGATTATATTTCTAGAGATTTGAATATGATAAGATCTCACTGGCATAATACAATTCAAAAAAAGGTGTATCGATTCAATGAGTGCTATAACAGTATTTACGGTGTGTATCAAAGTGGTTGTAGTGATGAGGATATATTAAGTCGGGCTTACGAACAATATCGTACTGAGAATAATGGTGTAGCCTTCAATCTTGAGCATGTGTGGAGAATCCTAAAGGATCGTCCTATGTTCACTCCACAATCTTCTAATGATATTTTTGTTGAGAGAAAAAAGACGAGAATTGATGAGTCTGGTGCCAGCAACACTTCATCAAAGGGGGATGCGAGCATTGATCTAGATGAACTTCATGAAGTGGCTCGCCCAATCGGACAGAAGGCAGCCAAACGAAAGGCCAAGGGCAAAGGAAAATCTAACCTTGATGAGATGACCGCAGAATATAACAACATGGTTAAGCACCTTGCTGAGTTCACAAGCTTGAAAAAGACTGAAGTTGAAGTTAAAAAAGCAACACTTGAGGAAAAGAAGCAGAGGAATCGTCGGAAATACTATGATATTTTAATGAGGGACACAAGTCACATGACCCAAGAGCAACGTGTTACTCATGAGAAAATGTGCCAAGTAATTCGAGAGAAATGGAACTTTTAGACTTTGCATTATCTATTTTAATTATCCTTGTAATTCTGTACATTGTAATTTGCAAAATTGAATTTTCATCTTATATTTCATTTAAGTTTTGCAAAGTTAAAACTATGTAAACTCACATATTTTATTCAAAGCAAACTCACAATATTAAAGCAAACTGACATATTTCCTAGTCAAAAGAAGGAAGCTTCCTCACAATTTCCTAGTCAAAGGAAGGGAGCTTCCTTACAACTTCTTAGTCAAAGAAAGGAAACTTCCTCGTAAGTTCCTAGTCAAAGGAAGAGAGCTTCCTCGTAAGTTCCTGGTCAAATGAAGGGAGCTTCCTCGCAACTTCATCAAAAGAAGCATTTGTTTGGCTATAAATACCTCATTTTGTATCCCATTTTGTATCCCATTCCAAGTGAAAAGGAAGGAAGAATCCTCACAAAATGTCTCAAAATTCATATAGATCCGAGTCTAATTCATCATCATCCACCGATAGTGAAGATGGTGAAAACACTAACAATTTAGAAGTTGAAATGATTTCATCAATCGTTCAATGAAGCCACGAGTTACTTCAAGCATACCAACATGAAATTCAAGTTCGTAGAAGAAGAAGGTTCATTCAGAGAAATTGAGAAGATGGACATAACAGACTTGTAAGTGATTATTTTTTTGATCATCCTGTCTACCCGGATCATATATTTCGTAGGCGTTTCCGTATGCGAAGAGAATTATTCCTTCGAATTGTGAATGCACTTCAGACACAATCATCATATTTCCAGCAAAACTTTGATGCATCAGGAAGACAAAGTTTGTCACCACTTCAAAAATGCACAGCAGCCATTCGTCAGTTGGCTTATGGAGTCCCAGCTGACCACCTTGATGAGTATTTACGTATGGGTGAGTCAACTGCTATCAAATGTCTTTTTAAATTTTGTGAAAGTGTGGTTCAAATTTTCGGTGATGAATATTTGAGAAGACCGAACAGTAGTGATGTTCAAAGACTCCTCCAAATGCATGAAGAAAATCATGGTTTTCCGGGTATGCTTGGAAGTCTTGATTGTATGCATTGGGAATGGAAAAATTGTCCAGTTGCTTGGAAAGACCAATTTACAAGAGGGCATGGGTCTCTTACGATTGTCCTTGAAGCAGTTGCTTCACACGATTTGTGGATATGGCATGCCTTTTTTTGGTGTTGCAGGATCACATAATGATATCAACGTATTGTATGAATCTCCTCTATTTAATAATGTGTTGCAAGGAAATGCACCAAACATTCATTTCACTGTCAACGGCACGCAATATGCAAATGGGTATTATCTTACAGATGGAATATATCCAGAATGGGCTACGTTCGTAAAGTCTTTTCCTTGCCCGTCAGATCCTAAAAGAAAGTTATTTAAAGAAAAACAGGAAGCTGCTCGAAAGGATGTGGAAAGAGCATTTGGGGTGCTTCAGTCTCGATGGGCAATTGTAAGAGGTCCTGCTCGATTTTGGTATAGAAAAAAACTGAAATTTGTTATGTTGACATGCATTATTTTACACAATATGATTGTTGAAAATGAAGGAGGTGCAGTAACAAATTGGCACAATGACGAGGATGAAGAGCCCGCACAACCTGTCCAGGGTTCAAATCGAGAATTTCAAAGTTATATCCGTAGAAGTTCAGAAATACGAGATAACACAGTTCATCATCAACTTCGTGCCGATTTAGTTGAGCATATTTGGACTCATTTTAGCCACTAAAAAAATTATATTTTGTAATTGTTTTATTTTTTTCTTGTGTAATCTTAATTTAAGTTATTTTGGTATTGTAGTGTGCTTTTATTTTCATGTATTTAAAATTTATTATTATAATTTAAAAATATTAAATTTTTATTTTTATTGAGAATAGAATATTAAAATTTATATTGAATGAATGGATATAATGGGTCCCATATTTGTATTTAAATGAATGTGTAGGAATGTGGGTGTGTGTTTAAATTGAGAGAGAATTAGTGGAAAGGTAATGTGGAAATGATGTGGAAGAGAGAGAGTGTACTTTTTTGATTGAATGAATGAGAAAAAAATTAACGCGGATGCCCTTAAAGATAATTTTGTTGAGAAATTTAACATGTCACATGCACGTGTACAACCAAATTCCCAATGGAAATTTAGATTTAGACCAAAATTATTTTCCAATTGATTATTTTTTGAAATTGCAGAAACTTTTATTGATTAATAAAAATTCCAATTAGAATAACTCTTACAAATTACTAAAATATATTCGCCTATTTTTTTGAAATTATCACCTCTTGGATGCACACACAACACACCATATCAGAGCATCTCCAATGTTCAATGTTGTAGTGGTAAACTACATTTCACATCAACACATTTATTAATATCACAATTTTTCACCCTTCAATGTACAATGTGATCACAAATGTTATGGTGATGTGGACATAATTAATGTCTACAATGTAGAGAAGAATGTGGTTCATCCACATTCTCCTCCACACTCTAGCTAGATAATGAAGAGAAGAGAGAAAATTATTATTACCATTTTTAAATTATTTAATTAATTTTATTAATCCCTATTAAATTTAACATTTAGTAAGTAGATAATATTGTAATTAGACTACATTGTGCATTGGAGATGATTTTTTAATTGAATAATTGTGAACTCAATATTTTTTCTACATGGTTCACAATCTATTTAATTTTTTGACAATTTTGTCAAAATTTATCTTATGACAACATTAGAGCATTGGAGATGCTCTCATATGTTGAGGCTAAATAATCCCGAGTCAATGTCATTTCTAATCCACGTCACCCAATATTCTTGTTCATTGACTTGGTAAACCCTAGATTTTTTTGCCAACCTACTTCCGAGTCACATGCATGCCTTCTCATTTCAAAAACAGGCCATTTGCAGGGGAGCCAAAAATTCCAGCAGAGGGATTCTTGAGAAATATAATCAAATCAATTAATTTAGTCCCTTTGCAGGAATAATTTACATAAAATTACAATCCGAAAAAATGGTGCGTCTTTTCTGAAACCCAATCGATTCGATTTCGATTCGTCAAGAAAAAAGGAAAATGGGGGGAGAGATGGAAATCGGAAGCCGTTCTCCGGCGAATGTCGAATCGCAAAATCTTTCTCCTTCACAATCTTCAAAACCCAAAAAGGTTGGAGGATGGAGAGCCATTGCATATATTCTTGGTAATAAAAGTTTGATCTTACAAATGATCATCACCTTTTCCTTTTGGCCCTTTTTTTTTCTTTTTTTTTTTCTACGATGATCTCAATTTGCATGGTTTTGTTAAGGAAACGAGTCGTTCGAGAAATTGGCGTCGATGAGCCTGGTGGCCAACATTACGGTTTATCTCCGTACAAAGTACAACTTGAGCGGCATACTTTTGGTGAATGTGGTCACGATATGGTTCGGGACGGCGAATATTTCGTCGATATTGGGTGCCGTTGTTTCGGATGCCTTTATAGGAAGATTTCTCACTCTCCTCATTGGCACCCTTTTTTCCTTAACGGTACGTATGAATTAATTTTATTCACCAATTATCCATCCATCCTTCAATTCTATATGATAATATGCATGTTAATTTCTGAGTTTTTTTTTCTACATTTTTTTTCGCCTTTTCTTTTTATTCTATTATTATAGAGAAATGGACTTCAGCTAGCAATGCTGTTCTTTCATATTTGTAAACCTTTTCAATTAACTGATTCAAATGTTTGAACTATTGAAATATAGACAACAGAGTAGAACAGTCAATAAATTCTGAAAATATGCTGCGATTTTAGAAGCGATTTCACCCGAAAAACAATTCCTTCTTGTTCTCTCGTGGTACTAGCTTGAAACAAAACACAAGGCAAAATTTTGTGAAATGCAACAAAGAAAAATGTTTATATGAGATCTCAAACTAGTATCTCTAAAAAAAAATTAACCTTTTGATTCGCGACAACGACAGTTTTATGATCGAAACTAGTTACATTACATAAAAATTCGAAGATTGGTTTGAACTTTTAAAAACATGGGAGCGAGACGAGATTAGACATCGAAGCACTTGAATTTTTAATTTTTAATTTTTTCTGTTCAAAAACTCTGTTTTTTGGGTGCAGGGCATGGCTGCCATGACCCTAACCGCGGCAGCACCCAGCCTCCGGCCCCCACCTTGCTCGGACGACGACCAGCCATCGTGCCGCGGGCCCCACGAGTGGCAGCTGGCCTTCCTCTTCATCAGCCTCGGCCTCATTGCCCTTGGCGCGGGTGGCATTCGCCCCTGCAACATCGCTTTCGGTGCCGACCAGTTCGACACCAACACGGCCCATGGCCGGGCCCGCCTCGAGAGCTTCTTCAATTGGTGGTACCTCTCATTCACGGGCGCCCTCATAATAGCTCTCACGGCCGTCGTCTACGTTCAAACCGAAGTCAGTTGGGTCGCGGGCTTCGCTATCCCGACCGCCTGTCTCCTGACGTCCGTCACAATCTTCCTCCTTGGCCGCCACGTGTACGTGTACAAGGTCCCGAGAGGGAGCGTCTTCATCGACGTGGCCAAAGTGGCTGTTGCCGCCTTCAAGAAACGGAAGCTCGAGATGAAAGTTACGAGTAGCGCCGGTGATCTCCGTTTTCACGACCCCCCAGGGGAGGACGATAACGACGAGTGGGAGGAACGGAAGAAGTCCAGAGTCGAGAGGTTTCGGTTCTTCGATCGTGCGGCGGTGATCGAGGACGGGGATGAGGTGGGGCCCGCGGGCACGTGGAGGTTGTGCACGTTGGAGCAAGTCGAGAACTTGAAGTGTCTGTTGGGGGTCGTGCCGGTTTGGGTGTCGGGGGTCGGGTGTTTCCTAGTGATGGACCAGCAGTCGACGTTCGGGATTCTGCAGTCGATCCAGATGGACCGGTCGCTCGGTGGGGGGAGTTTCGAGGTCCCGCCCGGTTGGATGGGGATATCGTCGATGATAGCCCTCTCGATTTGGATCTTGATCTACGAGTGGATGTATATCCCTGTTGCGAAAAGATCACGTTGCAAACGGGTCGACCCGCGGATCTCGATGAGGGCGAGAATCGGGATCGGGATCGCGATGTCGGTCGCCTGCATGGCGATCGCGGGTTGCGTAGAGAGGAGGCGCCGCTCGTTGGCGCTGAGGCGCGGGTCGTTCGTCTCGTCCCTACACGTGTCGACACTGCTGCCGCAGTTTGCGCTCTCGGGTCTCACGGAAGCCTTTGCCGCGGTGGCGCTAATGGAGTTTTTCACGAGGCGGATGCCCGAGAGCATGAGGAGTGTTGCGGGAGCCATATTTTTCCTTAGTTTGTCGGCCGCGAGTTATATGAGCTCGTTGATCGTGAACGTGATGCACTCGGTGACGGGAGGTAAGGGGAGAGTGGGATGGCTCGGGGGACACGACCTCAACTTGAACAAGCTCGACAACTATTATTTCATAATCGCGGCTCTTGGGGTCGTTAACTTTGCGTACTTTTATCTATTCGCGAGCAAGTACGTGCCGTGCGGTGAGCACGGTGAATCGGAGGTGGAGGATTTCTCGGAGGAAATTACTCCGGTTAAGTGATCGGCTTTTGTGAGTTTGTGCATGGTGAAAGTTCGAGGAGATTGTTATGTCATGTTTGAGTTATGCACTTAACATTTCTCTAGTTGTCTTGAAGATTGTTTAAGAAAAATGAAGAAATGGAAAGGAGGAGGATGGAGATGTTACAAGTAACTAAGTAAGACTTGGTTTTATTCCTTTTTATTTTCGAGTGCTTCTTTAAAAAAAAAAAAAAAGTATATAGAATATGGAAGTATGCATGAGCTTACTAGCCAGTAGCTTGAGGTCTAATTTTGAATTGGGTGACATTTTGAGAATTGAAATTTGAATCATATATATAAATGATCACTTATTAATAATATTCATCAAATCATACAGAAGAGAGAAAGAGAAAGTAGAGAAGCATCGGAGAAGAAGAGGAAAATTAGGTTTTCTGTATTGAACAAAAGTGAATAAGTCTGATACATCATTTCCCTTATATACATGGGACACATGTGTAAATATTACAAAATAGGTTGCCTACAATGAATAGGTAAAACATAAAGTCATAAGTGTTTGTACATTTGGCATAATTAGTTGTACATAATCTATTACCCCCCCTCAAGATGAACATGAATATTTTTCAAGTTCATCTTGGAAGTGAGAGCTGAAAACAGAGGATAACATAGTGGTTTAGTGAAGATGTCTGCTATCTGCTGCTGTGAAGGAATGTGAGCAACTGAGATGATGCCTTTGGAAATCTTTTCCCTTATGAGATGACAATCCAGTTCAATGTGCTTTGTTCTTTCATGGAAGACAGGATTTGTGGCAATGGAAAGTGCAGCTTTACTATCTGAAAAAATGCATACTGGAGACTTATGAGTAATATGAAGTTCATCAAGTAAATATAGCAACCACTGTACCTCACAACTAGTATAAGCTAATGCTCTATACTCAGCTTCAGCTGAAGACTTGCTAATTGTTGGTTGCTTTTTAGATTTCCAAGATATTAAAGAGTTGCCCAAAAATATAGCATAACCAGAAATACTCCTTCTAGAATCTATGCAGCCAGCCCAATCAGAATCACTATATGCAGTAAGAGTTAAAGAAGAAGATCTAGGAAAGAATATACCTTGGCCCACAGTCTGTTTTAAATACCTGAGGATCCTGTGTGCTGCTGTCAAGTGCTGTTGAGTGGGATTGACCAGAAATTGACTGAGACTTTGGACACTATATGAAATATCAGGTCTAGTGATTGTGAGGTAGAGTAATCTACCAATTAATCTTCTGTAAACAGTGGCATCTACAGGTAAATCTTTAGTATTGTTACCAGTAAGTTTAATATTGGCATCCATGGGAGTGGATACTGGCTTACTGCCCAAATAACCAGAATCATGTAAAATGTCAAGGGCATATTTCCTTTGACAAATATTTATACCTGCAGCAGAATGAGCAACCTCTAGACCTAGAATATATTTCAGTTGTCCCAAGTCTTTAATTGTAAAACAATTATCTAAATGAGATTTGATAGCATGAATTTCAGAAATGTCATTTCCAGCAAGTATTATATCATCAACATATACTAATAATGCAAGAAATGAGGAAGATGATTTTTTGATGAAAAGAGAGCAATCAGAAACTGATTGAGAGAATCCATATGCAAGTAGACATTGAGTAAGCTTATGAAACCATTGTCTTGAGGCTTGTTTCAAGCCATAGAGACTTTTGGTTAGTTTACAAACTCTTTGATCATTTTTATCACAATAACCAGGTGGGGGTGTCATGTACACCTCCTCATCTAGGTCACCATGTAAGAATGCATTATTTACATCAAGTTGATGTAAGTGCCAATGATGAATGGATGCTAATGCAATGAGGAGTCTAACTGTTGTGATTTTGGCAACAGGACTAAAAGTATCAAAGTAATCTATGCCCTCCTCCTGGGTATACCCTTTGGCTACTAATCTGGCTTTATATCTCTCTATAGAGCCATCAGCCTTATATTTTATTTTAAAAACCCATTTGCAGCCTATGGGTTTTTTGCCAGGAGGGAGGTCAGTAAGATACCAAGTTTTAGTCTGTTCTAATGCAGAAATTTCTTTATGCATGGCTTCCTGCCATAATGGATTGCCAGATGCTTGTTTGTATGTTTTTGGTTCAGTATGAGTGGTGATGGATGTGGTGAAGCATGTATGTTCAGTGGACAGATTTGATGTACTGAGATGATTTTCAATGGGATATAAGTTTGATGTTCTAGAAATGTTAGGAGACTGTGTGGAAGTAACTGAGTTAGAGGAAGAGGGGAGTTGATGATTATAGGCTTGTAAGTAAGCAGGGGTAGTTTTAATCCTTGTAGATCTTCTGATAGGTTGAGGCTGAATGTTGGTGATCTGTGTGTGTTGATGGACAGAAGGTGATTGATTACTGATGGTAGGTTGTATGTTTTGATTTATATGAAATGATTGAGTGGGATTCTGAGTAGTGTTATCTGGAGTAGTGCTGATGGTCTGAGATGAGTGTGAATTTATTGGTGAGGTATAGTCATGAGTGAATGAATGTGGAGCAGGGAATAAGGGTGTATGTATAGGTTCAGAGGAAGGATTTTTAAAGGGAAAAACAGTCTCATAAAATATAACATTTCTAGAAATCACTATTTTCTTGGTATCTAAGTCATAAAGTTTATAACCTTTATGACCCAAGGGATACCCAAGAAAGATGCATTTTGATGCTCTATGAGAAAATTTTGTTCTGTGAGAATGAAGTGTGGATGCATAACAAAGACATCCTATTGTTCTGAGATGAGAAATGGATGCTGGTGTATTGTAAAGCATATGATATGGAGATTTGTTATGCAAAACTTTAGTAGGAACTCTGTTAATAATATGGACAGCAGCTAGAATACAGTCAATCCAAAAATGCAGGGGTAAATGTGCATGAAATAAGAATGCTCTTGCTACTTGAAGGATATGTTGATGTTTCCTCTCAACCCTTGCATTTTGCTGTGGGGTTTCTACACAGCTTTTCTGATGTAAAATACCAGTTTCATTGAAAAAATCATGCAGTAGGAACTCTGTGCCATTATCAGATCTTAAGACTTTGATGTTTTTGTCAAATTGTGTTTTGACCATGTTATGAAAATGTCTTAAGCTAGAGTGAGTATCTGATTTTTGAAATAGAGGATAAACCCATGTTGTCCTACTGTAATCATCCACAATGGTTAAGAAGTATTTATGACCAGCATATGAAGGTACAGAAAATGGACCCCAAACATCACAATGTATTAACTCAAAAGAAGATGATGCAGTTGAATTGCTAAGTTGAAAGGGAAGTCTCTTTTGTCTAGAAAAATGACATACATCACAAGGATTATTATGCTTTGAAATAGGAATATCAAGTTCAGTCATTCTGGTAAAAGATAAGTGGCCAAGTCTAGAATGCCATATGTCAGGGGATACAAGGTTTTTGCAAGTATTTGCATCAGAGACATGTGTTGTGTTAACATGGGATACAGGGTTATGAGATATAGATGAAGTATGTAAAGATGCAGAAGGGTCAAAATGATATAAACCACTTTTGGCTTCAGCAAAACCAATCACTTTGAGTGATGTCAGATCCTGCAATATGCAGTGAGATGCAAAGAAATTTATGACACAATTATTTGTGGCAGCCAATTTTGATATAGAAATGAGATTAAACTTGAAATGAGGAACAAACAGTGCTTGTTTTAAAACAATAGAAGCAGATAACTGAATATCACCCATGTGTGAAGCAAAAGTGACTTCTCCATTTGGTAAATTAACAGGTATAGAAGTGTGAAACAAGTTTGAAGTAAATAAGGATTTATCACAAATCATGTGGTCCGAAGCTCCAGTATCTAATATCCATGTGCAAGCATTGAAAACACAATGAGCAGAACATGAAACACCTACAGAATTAGAAATACCTGTTGCA